AACGTCGGCATGGCCTGGAGAAAAGATACAAAGTATGCTCACTATCCGTGACCTTTCCAGTGAAGCTTGCCACTCTGCTCGAAGCATCCCTGTCTTCAATTTTTTTCGCATGCTTTCACAGTCTGTTACATGTGTATACATCTTGTTCTCTAGCCACCGGAGAGCTGCAGTTACCACCTCCACCTCCAATTCTCATGCTAGATGTTGAGGTGTCATATGCTAGGCTGTCTTGCACTAAAGATTTTTCATTGGCTCTCGCTACGAACTCCCAGGCACTTCTCTTTCCTCCAGATCATCTGGGCGTAAATTGCCGTGAATCAACTGTTGGACTTCAACCTCCGTAGCACCCGTTGGCTACTCTCTGCACACCCGGCCAATGTGATCATAACCCTACACAGGTCAGACTTTTCTATTGGTACTCTGACCCACTCCTTACCTCGCCCAATGTTCTCCAGCATGCATACTTGTCTTATAGTGCCTTCTGCTTGAGCCATCCACGATTTCCCCTTTTCGGCCTCTGACTCTTGCCTGCAGCCAAAGCTTCATACAGTCACAGAATGCTTCAGAAACAGATGTCTTCATTGTATCCGACTCACAAAGCATGTTCCTTGTATATTGGCAAGCATCGCTTCAGAGGTTCTCGGCAAATAGATGATAACGCCTGAAACCATTAAAATGATCAGAGGAAAAAACACACTCACACACATCTAATCACTTGCGACACTTTGGCTGTTTGAGCTATACATAGCTCATGAAAATACGCAGAAGCTAATAAGTAAGTTAGGAGGCGAATAAGAGCAGCTAAAGGGAATATTCAGACGACCTAGCACAAGAAGTGGAGACAGCAACAGCAAAAAGAAATCTTAGATACCTTTACAATACCACAATGAATTTAATATGTAAATATAAACAGCCAACTGGATCAATCAAAAACCATCAAGAAAATGTACTCACCGTCATTAAAGACCAAATAGACAAATGGGTTGAATATTTTGAAATACTTCTGAATAGTCTCGCTGTAGCACAGTTTTGTTCTTTGCGTATGTTGATGTCAAACCCAGGTTCGTCTTTAGTTTGCTACAGGAGGAGTCAATCGGAAAAGAATAGAAGAGGAGAAAGATGGTAGTGTCGATAGGGGTGATAATGATGACGTCCTGCTAACTTCATGCTTCTCACGTCACTCTGATGCTTGTGAAATAAAATGTAAAATAACTGTTCTTTTTCTATACTATTTTATTGTGACACCTCAGTAACGTCACAAGCAACATCAATGATATTCTGAATGGCATCGTGTTCGCTCTATGGTTACATACTCTTGCTAACTGGCTCTAGTGTCTGTAACTGCCACCTGGCTTCTAGTGCTGTTTGGTACTAAAGGCTTAGACGTCGACTCTAACATCTCAATAGTGTTTCTATCTGATGTGTCTCTGTAGACCGTTGATTCAAGTATGTCTGTTGTCTCTGTAGTTTGATGTCTCGTCCCATGTCTCCTCTCTAGTGTCTATCTTTGAGGCTTTATGTGACTGACTCCTCTCCTTCTAAATGAAGACTGAAGATTCTCTTCTTTGAGGGTCAATGTTACTAGTCCCTCCTCTTCTAAGTCTCGTAGACTGAAGGATGACCCAAGTGGTTTCTTACTCATTATTTATACTGAGATGCTGCAATGTTGTTTTCTGCTCACTTTGACTGCTTCTATAATGTTCTAGTGCGACTTAGCATGTTTACTATGTGCGTTCTCGCGTGGGATTTTCTAATTGCGTTTGGATTGCATCAGATAGTCTATATCAAAGTGTACTAATTGGATATACAGGTGTCCTTCTATGGCCTTATAGAAAGTCAGTACGATAAGGCTCTCATTCTTTGATATGGCACATCAACGATTGCATCAGATGCTATGTGTATAACTAGGTTATTCATTTGTAAATACCTCTTGCACTTGATGCTTCTAGAAAGGAATGTCCAGATTACTAAGACCTGTTGACTTCAGTCACTACAACTAATACACAATATCCTACCTCCTACAAAACAAGTGATGACGTCTCCCTGTTACATAGCCATAGAGGTCCCTCGAGATTTTCTGCCTTTAGAAATGCAACTAGATATAAGCTGTGAGATACTATCCAAAGATAGTTCAACTGACGTAACTGAGTTGTGCCTGTTTACAGCAGAGCTGCGATATTTGCATCTTACGGACTACACAGCGTTCATCGTCGAGCATTTGTTGAGGACTGTTGTGCACGAGTATCAGAACACTCGTGCTACTGAACTTTAGTGATGGTTTGCAGTCATGCCATAGGACATAATCAAATAGACATTTGAGCTTAATCGGCTGACTGAAAATGGCAGATTGTCGTAACGTATCTCAACGCGGTGGCGATAACTTTCCTGGTCGACAAAGAATGTAAGGAGTCAGGTCTGTACTGCAATATACTGTTTACTGGAGATGTTGCTCGTCTAAACTATGAGTTTTGATAAACGTGTTCAGCCAAAACAATTCTGCCTCTTCGCTGGCTGCTGAAGATGAGGACGAAACGTTTCTATGAATGTCCTTAGTACTGTGATGTCAATTCTTGGCTCAACGCCTTTTTGTCGTATGACTTTGTTGCTCATAATATCAATTGTTTACCTTGAATAAATGAATGAATGAATGAATACTTGAGTGAATAATTGAATGAATCAAGAACTGACATTACTGCGCTTGTGACATTGCCATTCTCCGCCCCCTTCTTCGGTAGCCAACGAAGAGTTGACACGTTAACATTACCAGCTGTGACCTGATTAAAATTCCGCCTCTGTCTCCCTTGCAATCTTGAATATCTCCTGAAACCTACACACGCCCTGTTAAATCACTCTGCCAATGTATGGATTCCATATCTGTTCTTTCGCACAGTCCATTTGATCCCATAGTCTTCGCCACATCTGCTTTATCTAAACATTCGCTCACAACCTAGAAAAACGACAGCAGCTATTCTATCAGAATGCTCGTTAATTCATACACCCGAATCTCCTGGACAGAAAATCCACGATATGTTTTTTTTTCTAAGTCTTATCAAGGGGAGCCGTGTTAACATAGTCGATAGGAGACTAGCTTTCAAATCCAGTTGCCACTCGCTGCAGCCCACGGCGGGTGTTCGAAACCGGGCCATTCCTGGGAGTCAACCAGCCTCTAGGAAATGGGTACCAGGGTTGACATTCTGGGGTAAATGGAGGAACGTCGCTGTAGCTACGGAGTTAAGTGTGGGCGGTTAGCAAAGGCGGACAGTTTCTTATCAGTTGCCGGCACTAGTGGTAGAGCACTTATGGTTTATAACCGTGTGCAGTGATGCTGGTTCACATCTCCCGACTTTAACTCTAAGTCTCATCAAGGGATGCAAGCCACTCTACCCGCAGGACACAATTTCTAATTTTACGAAGCATGCTATGTGAGTCTGTGACAATTACAACATGTTTTACTGTGCTGCTCTCAAGCCACCGGAAAGCTGCCGGTACTGCCTCTACCTCCATTCTAATACTGGATGTAGTTTCGTTGTACGCGAAACTCTCAGTTTTCAAGCAATTTCCGTTCACCTTTACAAGAAAAACCCCACCCCCTCTTCTTACCTTTTACTACAGATCCATCTATATATATTATGATGTCACCTGGGCGTGAATGTTCATTGATTGAGCTGAAATGAGTCAAAAATTGACATCACAACACTCGGGGCATTCCCATGCGTGCTCCGTCCTCATCTTCAGCAGCCAGCACAGAGTTACATTACTAATGGTGCCGGGGAATTTTCAGCCGTTGTCCCTTTTTATCCCATAAAGCCCCATGCAGGAGGTGTTCCCTGTCTGTTGAAACTTTAAGGTACATTTTCGTCTGTAAAACCTTGTATCGCTCACATACGTATGACAGTTCAAGATTACGTCCCCGTTCCAAAAAATAGGGGAGTGGAGTAGTACGTCAAAGAGTTAATATGCTTGTTGTTGCTGGCACCTTTTTTCTTCTTTCCAGGCGAAATGTTCCATTGTAATATATGAAATCAACTAAGCGCAAATAGCTCAAAGTCTAGATTGTTTATGTATGTGGTGTATTGCCTGTCCAAATGCACAGTGAAGATTAAAATCTGTTCTTGAAATTAAAGAAAAGAAAATAATGTCCACATATAAAACTGGCTGCCATCCAATAATAGCAATAAATGATACATAAATTGAAAATGTCACAAATTTTGAATATCTAGGCTCTATAATAAAAAGCAGTGCAGACTGTTTGACATAAATTAAAAAGAGGATGGCTATAGCAATGCAAAGATTAAACAGCCTAAAAAGTCCTTGGACCAGCAAGGAGACAAAAATTATAATTTTGAGAGCATGCTTCTTCCATGCAGCAACATACGGATGTGAGTCGTGGACTATCTCCCAGTCCTTAAGAAAGAGAATAAGGGCTTTTGAGCTGAATTACTATAGTAAGATTCTCAGAATATCTTTGACAAAGAAGAGGTGAACTACTGACATTTTGAAAGATCTGAACATCAAGGAAGATTGGCCAATAAACAGCATCCTGTCTCGGAAATAAAAAATATTTTAATCGTTTTAGGCGCCACAACGGATTGGGAAAAAAATAAAGCAGAAGGCATGGTTCCAGGAAGGAGGGGAAGGGGCCGACCAACACGAAGATGGTCACAGGATATAAGTGACTCCTTGAGTATGAAAGTACATGAGGCGGGAGAGCTGGCGAGAGAGAGACAGAGTTTCTTTCAGGCAGACTTTGAAGAGATCCACGTTCTGCAAATGTCCTACTACTTGATGATGATGTATTGAAGAGACCGAATTACTTGCGCAGCCTAATCCCATCACAACCTACTTGAGTAATATGCGAAAACCATGATCTACGACCGTAATGGTTCAGCCTCGTTTCAAGTCACCAAGCCAGAAGTTGACGGACGCCATTTTGCTTTATTTAGCTGCTGAAATTACGGATACAAAGGATTGTCAATAAAAACATTCATTTGGAAACAGATATGTCGAAACCTGTTGTGAATAATACTGCAGTCACGCAGGAAAATAACCAGTTCAAGAAGGAAAACAGAAGTTCTAGCGGTAATACTCCAAATATCAAAGACGAAAAGCGGTCTTCTGACAGCTTCGTCAGTCAACAGCAAAAGAGCAACAACCCGGCTCAAAATCAGAATCGTGCTGGGCAGACTCCTCACGGTCAGCGGTCCAACCAACAACACAATGACAGCCAAAGTAAGGATCGGTCGGGAAATCGAAACGATAGTAGGAATTATGAGAAAAATAAACCAGAAGCGAAAAGTAACGAAGAAGATAAGCATACTGCCGACCCATCGGCTGGAGGACCAGTCGAGAAGAAATTCACTGGGAGATGTCGATTGTTTGTTGGTAATCTGACTCCTGACATAACAGAGCATGACTTCAGGAAAATGTTCGAGGCCTATGGAGAAGTGTCGGAAATCTACCTTAATCCATCCAGAGGATTTGGATTCATTAGGCTGGTATGTTATTATAACAGTTAGTTATTATAGTAGAGTAGATACTTTAACAAATTTTCAAAATGCCCTCTACAGTCTACACCAATAAAACCAACACAGTTAGATAGCTGTAAACAATTTTTGGCTCTCCTAGCAGATTTGGCCGGCAAGTATTTCGGCTTTGGTCGGCGTAGTGGGAGTTCTTTCCCTTGGCTGCACTCACAACAACGAGCGGAAAACGTCACGACTCAACGACAGTGAGGTCGACATCAGGGCTGCCAATGCTTGGTTGTGTCCCCCAGATCTGGGTTTTTCTTTTGACGATGCGGGAAAATCTGGGTTTTTTTTTTCTGTGTATGTCTGTGGGTGTTTTGCCGATCTGTAAGCTTTAATGACCGATAAATTTGTGTGGTTAGGGGTTGGGTTAGCGGTAGGATTAGGTAGGATTACGGTTAGGGGTAGCGTTAGGGTTACGGTTAGGGTTAGAGATAGAGTTAGGGTTAGGGGTTAGGGGTAGGGTTAGGGGTAGCGTTAGATGTGACAATTGTGACTCCGTAGTTCCCTATAATCGCGCACAGTCGCATGCACGCGCAAACAGTCGACGGACGGTGGATGCTACTGACACGGACAATTCACCACCGATTGGGCACCAGCCGCGCGCTATTGCCGTCATATTTGCCACACTTCCAGTGGCGCCACTCCCACAAACATCAGTATTTCGACCTCTTACGTGAAAATTTTCACATCTAACCCTAACCCTACCCCTAACCCTAACCCTTACCCTACCCCTTACCCTAAACCAAACCCCTAACCCAAACCCCTAACCCTACCGCTAACCCAAACCCTAAGCAACCCGATGATAGACACCCTACGCAGCCCTTCACGCAACCACATGATGATGATAGACACCCTACGCAGCCCTATGCGCAACCGTATGATGATAGGTAACCCTAGACGCAACCGTACGCAACCCTACACGCACCCGGATGATGATAGGTAAGTATGTCATTTGATTTGTGACTTTTTCCGCGACTTGTTGTGAGTGCCGCTAAGGGACAGAACTCCCAGTACGCCGACCGAAGCCGACCTACTTGCCGGCCAAATCTGCTAGGAGAGCCCAATTTCTTTCCAATGGTACCTCATTTAGGCCTACTGACTGAGATATATATAGGTTTTGTGGAGATGAGATGTAAAAAACAGCTGTCAAAAAAACTTGCGTTCCAGAAACAAGAAGTTTCTCTGCGCAACCAAAACTGCGCACTATCGTTTTGGCTTTTTTTTTTCATTGGACAAGATGGCAGACAATGAACACCTCCACATAATAGCGATTGCCTGAAAAATGTCACTGTAAATCTAAAAAGCCACTAAGAAAGAAATTTTATATGCAAATGTAAAATTGGACGGAGAATTCAATTATAACTAGCATTACCAGTACAAGTAATGTTAAAGCCTAAAGCGAACCTTGAATTCATACTTACTGTTATTTTCACAGCATGATAATAGCGATTGCCTGAAAAATGTCACTGTAAATCTAAAAAGCCACTGATACGAAAGAAATTTTATATGCAAATGTAAAATTGGACGGAGAATTCAATTATAACCAGCATTACCAGTACAAGTAATGTTAAAGCCTAAAGCCAACCTTGAATACTTGTCGCTATTTTTAATAAAACTGATGTAACAGAAAAACAGAGGACTTCCGGCTGTCGTAGACATGCGCTGTTAATCGGGTTCAGCTATTTATACTGGTGAAAACCACACCAATCGCAAAATTTCATGAGAGATTGGGACCCATCCCGAAACCGGCTGACATTTCCCAAACAAGTTTCGAACGGTTTCCATGGTAACGGAAATTGCCAAAAGACCGCAAATTGCCGAACACCGTAGTCGCTAGTTATAGTAACTTAACTTGTAGATGTCAGTATTATTTGAGTATTTTTGCCAGTTATGTTAATAATTGTTATTTATCAGTTATTTGTTAAAGTTTAACAAACATGCATTAAAGCATTACATAGGCACTTTAGTCAAATTTTCAAAATCATTTTTTCCTTATAAAACCAGTACAGCTGCATACACATATTGAAAAGCTCGGCTCTCCTGTCAACTACGGCCGGTAGACAACAGTAGACGGCCGGTAGACAACAGTAGACGGCCGGTTAGTTGGAGTTCTGTCCCCTGGCTGCAGTGCTATTACGGACTGGACAGGAGGAAACAAAACAAATGACATAATTACTGTGTGTTGGCGATAGACAGCGTGCACTGCCCTGCTATGGTCATACGGTTTGGGTTAGGGGTAGGGTTTAGGGTTATGGTGTGGGTTAGGGTTACGGTTAGTGTCGCCACATCTCGTCTTCGTACAAACTCAAAGTAGCAACCCTAACCGTATGATGACAGTAGGGAACTGCACGCTGTCTATCGCCAACACATAATAATTATGTCACTTGTTTCGTTCCCTCTAATCCACTCCGTAATGCGTCGCAAGAAGCGGTAATTGAACGAGGTCGCTAATTTGAGTCGCAGCGCGGGTTCTGCCAGGCATGTCGACCTCACTCTGTTTTTTGATTCGTGCCTTCTCCAGTCTGTAATTGCACTGCATCCATGGGACAGAACTCCGACTAACCGGCCATCTACTGTTGTCTACCGGCCGTAGTTGACAGGAGAGCCAAAAGCTCTTTCCAACAGTACCTCTTTCATGCCTGTATGTTAATTCTAAGCTGAGTTATTGGTGTTTTTGTTAAAAAATTTAATTAAATAAGGTCGAAAAAAGAGGAGTTGTCGCCCAAAAATTAGAAGTCTCAGAGTAGTGTTTAAAACTGCTTTAACATAAAACATTATAAAAAAGATGCTAGAAACCATATATTTTTTAATTCGGGGCAAGAAGCTCTAACCAGATATCCTCCGAATAACGGGCACATAGTCTGGCGGGCAAAATGCACACCCTAACAGGGCCTCACTCACGAGCAAATAAAATGAAGGAAGCTGCAGGAGATGCAGTAGCTGCTGCTCGTGAGTCCCAGCTATCTAGTTTAGCCCTGCTCCACGCTGCCCATTATGTAATATCGACTAATAATTATTCAAAATGGCCGCATTATGTTTGTTTAGTTTGTGATTGTGCATTCCATTGTTATTGTGGTCCTCATTTTACAATAAAGCATTTATTAGTTAGGGATGCTATATTTGTTTCAGGCACTCTTCTGAATACCGGTCCCAAATTATTCACTGTGAAAAACATCCCTTTGAGAACTTAAGAGGTTATGTAGTAAATACATTCAGGCCACCATCATCAGTTTCCACTTTTGTTGTTATTGCTCCATGGATAGCAATGATTAGACATTAAGCTAAGTGCCGTGGCTAGAAATAGTTTGTGTTCCATTGAAACACCGTGGGGAGGAATACATTTTAACCGTTTAAGAGAGTATCACTCACGGGCAAATAAAATGAAGGCAGTTGCAGGAAATGCGGTAGCTGCTGCTTGTGAGTCCCAGCCATCTAGTTTAGCCCCAATCCACGCCGCATGAGCGGCGTGGGGGATACTCTTAGCGGTGGCAGAAGTGCGCAATTTAAGTCGCCGGAAGTGCACCGTTATTAAAGAGCTAGAACACTGAGCACCTGGGATTAGAAAAGTTATGATGATAAGTTTATGAACAAGATGTGGACGTAACTTAGTGATAAGGCAAGATAAAATCGGACAGCCGTGAGGCACTGTCAAACTTTTCCACCTCTTCCAGCTTCTCCCCAGTTTGTTTCACCTGCTTCTGCGCCAGCTGGCCGATCTCTAACGCAATGTAGGTTCTTGCACTTGACCCTCTGGTTTTGCTATCAGAGCCAACCGGTCTTCACCCCGATGGGGAGCTATAATAATTGAAACAAACACACAAATGTAGTATCTATACTTACACTAAGCGTGCATATACTAATACAATATATATATACTGATATATATATAACATCTCTCCACCTCTTCTTCCACATTCTCTCCAGTCTAGCCTGAAAGTCTTATGTCTCACACTGACGTCTAACATATCATTCCTTCCCTCTCATGTTCTGTGATGATAGTTTACTTCCTCTGCTGTCTGTCTTCACTCAGACTTCCAAACTGGCTGACATTGTTTTTGCATGAACAGGTAAAGCAGGTTATGTGCTGAAAACCCAAACCATTTTATATGTGCAGGTTGTCCGGAATATTATCTTTTGAGCGACAGTGAGCAAATGGTGAGCTATCAAAACGCAACCACACGGCTGCACATGTATGCATGATTTTCCCACAGTCCAGGCACATGTTTGGGTTGATAATTGAAACAATATAATTACATTTATTATAGCAAATGGCTTTTGCTGTTTGTTCAGTACACTGTCAACTCTTGCACCAAAGCTGCCTCCCGGTACACCTCACCGAAGCAGAAAAGCTTGCCACTTTGCGCCACCAATCAGGCCCTATTCAGGGTCCCATATTTAATTTCTTTTGGTGCTTTTATATTTTCGCATCATACATGTATATATGTGTTAGCTGATTGTGCCTTTTTTTTAAAGGGCCTTATTCTTTTTTTTTTTTTTTGCTCTTTAAAAACAATTGTGTGTGTGTGTGTCAATTTTTTATCCAGTTTTCTTCTGGCTACATATGGTGTAGAAGTAATGTAACACAGGAAACAACTATAAGGCTTGAAAAGCTGCGTGGGTCATAAAGTAAGGTCGAAGGACTGAGAGGGAAGGATAGCTTGCTAGGTAAGGAAAGAAGAATTTCTGGTCCGGGTGACTCTGGCCTTGGTCTTCTGGAAGGACGTCTGGTGTTGAATCTCCCATCTGTTTCCTCTGGTGTTAGTATGCAGCCCCTCCTTTGGTTCTGCTGATGAATTGCTTCACCATTTTTTGTACAGGCGGGCTGCAGTTCACATGGAGGCATGCCGTGATTGTCTTTGGTTGTTTGGTTTTTCAAAGTGGTTTTTCAGGTCAGCTCTGTGATCTTTGAACTTGTCGCAGGTGAGCAGGTTGAGCTCCAGCTCCAAACAGTCGGTGCACATAGGGCT